CAGCATGATATTGTGCATTTTCAAACTAGTCTAATTATAAGAATCACTGGAGCACGCTTGTTAACAAAAGAGATTCCCAGACTTTAGCCGGGATTTATTGAATCAGAATCTCTGGGGCGGAGCTGGGAGGAGAAGGGAGAGTGTGCCTGAAAACCTGTATTTTTAATAAAAACTCCAGAAAGTCTTGCCAATGGGTAAGTTTGGGAAACACACAAAAGGGGAGAAGGCATGCCTGTTGGAGTTAGGGCAGGGTTGAATAATGACTCGCTTTTTAATAGTTGTTTGGCTTAGAGCATGTCATTTAATCTCCCTGTGCCTCCATTCCCTTATTCCGAAGAGGGGTTAATCACACCTGCCCGGTAGGGCTAAATGGGAGGATATATGTAAAACCCCACACACAACATCAGACACTCAGTAAACGGTCATCTTTATTATGGAGAAGGTTCTGGAAGAAGACATTAGGCTTGAATTACCAACCTACGAAGCCATTCATCCCTGAAGTGGAGATGAAAGTACAGTACCTCAGTTTTTCAGGTTCAGCCTCCAGTCACATTTTTCTGGTAACTGTGCCTGTTTTTTGTTGGAGAATCACCACCACCTTCTATTACTAGCTCACATGGTTTGGATTGATGGATCTGACCCTGCCTTTCACCCCCAGGGGTGAGCATGATTAAGGCCTGGCCAGTGAACATACTCCATCCCCCCTGGCCATCATAACTGATTCAGAATAAAGACCATGACCCAAGCTGGTCCAGTGAAATTCCATCTTGGGACTTTCACCAGAGATGTGAGCCTGGAGTTAAGCTGCCACCTGCCATCTTGCCAGAGGATGGGGAGGGCCCACCTAAGAATGCAGCAGGAGAGCACAGAAGAGTCGAGACATGGAGAGCATGGGACCAAAGCTTGAAGATATTTTTGAGCCCTGGAATCTAGACATGCTGAAGCAACCCCGTACTGGGACTTTTCATTTATGTGAGCCAAGGAAAATTTTGACATAGACAGTTTGATTTAGATTTTCTTGTTACTTGCATTCAAAAGGGTCCTGACAATGATCTTAATGCATTTCTTCTATTTTAGTCTCCAGCTTACCATGTAATCGTGCAAGTCTTTTTCTTGTCTGATACATTTCGTAACTTTATTAGGAAGAAGCAATCCCATGGCCTTAGCATTTAGATTTGATGGATATGGAAATTGCTACGGCATGATCACTCTCTGGGGATTAGAAAACTCAAATCCTTTCCATCTAAATGGATTCTTTTCTCTCAGGGTGGGAAGGAGTTGATATTTAGGTAAGTCTCTGTTTTTGTTCTCCAAACTCTGAGAAAGGTTGCCATTAAAGGGCAATACAACAATTAAAAGCTTTTGGATATGGGAATGACAAGCTTGGCTGGTATGCAATACTGTGCAGCTGAGATGATTATTCTCAATTAATGGGCAAACATTACACAATTGTCTCTTTCAAGTCCAGAGTGCTAATATATAATACACAATCAGAGGGCATTGTACGTTGGAATATAACTCATTAGCCAGTGCCAATTCTTTACCCTCAGAAATAAAATAGTCCCTTGTTTATGAAAGCTGCAATTTTGAGTCTTTTAAATTTGCAGTTACAGACCAGGTGAGAGATTTCAAATTGGAAAGAATCCAAATGGAATTGGGAGTAGAAATTCCTATTGGAATAAGGGGCTTGGCAGAACAGCCATGGAAGGTAGACTATGGACAACGCCCCCAACCCCCACCCCCCACCAGCCTCCACCGGGAACCAGATTCAAGGACCTTTGGCAAATCTGGCTGAGGCAGCATCTGCCCTGCTGAGGGACATCCCAGAATGGACATGTCCCTGTGTGACTGCCCAGCGAATACCAAACAGATTGGGTCATTTTATTCAAACCTGGAGTACTTGGCTGCTCCGGCACATGCTCTGTGGATGAACTCACTTTTGCTTTAGTCCCGCATGGCTGCTGAAGTCTGAGAAGCTCAGACAGCAAGGGACAGAGGTGAGGAAAACACAGGGCGGGCGATCAGAGAAGTCTAAGGAAGGGGATTGGATTACCGTCAGATCGCAGGGTGTGGGAGACTCTGGGACAGATTCATGGGAGAGCCTAACGAGCTGGCAAGGAGCTGAGAACTGTCACAGTCAGCTGTGCTGAGCCCGCTGCACTGTGGGTACATGCAGAATGCAGGCTAACTGGGAGGAGGAAATCTTAACAGTTACCACAAACACCCTGCGGTCCATCAGCCCACCCGACTGAAAAACAAAGCATGCCTCTTGGACTCCACATCTCACAAACCAAAGAGATAGCTACAAGGTTATCCAGTTTCTTGCTTCATGGGACATGTCGCTACCAGTCTTTCAATGGAGACTTCTAAATGTCAAGGCTGTGCTGGGTGCTAGGGATATGGAGGAAATATGTACAGAACTTTCCTCTCAGGAGCTCGCCACCTAGTCAACAATCACAGAAAAGGGAAAATGCAATAGGAGCTATAGGAGCTGGGACAAAAGAGAGCATGGGTACTGCAGGAGCCCAGGAAACAAGCACCAGATCATGTAAGTTGTGATCTAAAGCTCAAGAATTTGTGAGTTTCTTCAAACATACATAAACTACTCTTCATGTGCCACCCCCAACATTATGCCCACCCAACAGTGTTCTCTCCCCCAAACCTGTCTCATATCTGTGACCTCAGCATGGTAAAAGTATCCCCCGTGAATGTCAAGGTCTAGTAATAATAGAATGTTTTATTCTCCTCTGTGTTCTCTATGTTTTCACATCTTGGTTGCCTTTCTTTTTGAGTGTGTTGTTTACTCTGGTTGGTAGAATCTGATATTAAAAGGTCAGGGCTTTAATTTTATGGGCCATTTAGCTTCATTTGGAATGAGGATAAAGCCCCCACCCCCAGAGGTGTATCCATCAATCAAAGCCAGAGGCCTAGCTAATGTCTGCTGTGACCTTGGTTACTGGGGGCCAGAGCAAGAAACCAGAGATGGTTTACTCCATTCAAACCTACCATCATTACCAGATATGCCATCAGTAGGACATAGCCTTTAGTTCGGCGCAGTATATACTCACAAATAAGGGTAAATGTGAGCGAGTGTGCATGTGTAATTTTGCAATCCCCCCGAGGGCAGCAGAAATAATAATTACTATGCATTTATAAGCATAATCCCAGATACTGACAAGCACATCCCCTTATACATTTCATGTCTGTGCTCAATATCACCTCCTCACAAAGTCCTTCCCGGACCAGCACTAGAATGTAAATTCACTGGAATCGCTGTCCATTTTGTTCACTGTCCATAAAATTAAAGCCCTGAGCTTGTAAAATATCAAGTTCCATCGATTACATTAAACAGCACACTCAAAAAGAAAGGCAACCAAGATGTGAAAACATTGACAGAACACATACACAAAGACACAAGCATTAAATTGTCCCTAGACCTGAAGGGCCTGGGAGTTGTTCCTCCCATGCTGAAGTCATGAATATGAGACCAAATGGGATGAGAGAACACTGCTGGGTGGGCATAAGAGAAGATGTGGCATTTCAAGAGTGGTTTATGAGACTAAAGACAACCACTAAACTCTTAGCTTTAGATCACAACTTATATGATCTGGTGCTGTCTTCTGGGAGCAGTTCCTGAGACAGTGCCTGCCACACGGTCACTGCTCAATAACTATTGAGTGTCCGGTGAATCAAAGAACCAGGTGCTCTTTAGTGAAGCTTTTATTTCTTTTCACTTAATTTTGTAAAAAGGTAGTGTGTTGACATAGTTCAACATTTATTTCAGTGTAAAAAGGATAATACAAAGTCTTTTTTTAAAAAAAGATTTTATTTATTTGACAGAGAGAGAGAGAGCACAAGCAGGGGGAGAGGCAGAGGGAGAGGGAGAAGCAGGCTCCCTGCTGAGCAGGGAGCCCGATGTGGGGCTCGATCCCAGGACTCAAGGATCATGACCTGAGCTGAAGGCAAATGCTTAACTGACTGAGCCACCTATCAGCCACCCTGATAATACAAAGTCTTGTTCTCACCCTGTTTTCCCCCATCCAGTTCCCACATTCTGCCCAGCAAACTCCCCCTATAACCATTTTTATTAGTTTCTTATTTATCCTTCCAGAGTTTGTTTATGCAAATCATATACAACTATATTTTTATTTCATTATGCAAAAGAGAATGTACTATACACTCTGATATCAACCTTGCCTTTTTTCACTTAATAATGTAACCTGATGAATGAACAAAGAAAAAAATATATATATATATAATGGAATACCATTCAGCCATAAAAAAGAAGGAAATCCTACCATTTGGACAACATAGATGGACCCTCGGGGCATTAAGTGAAATGAGTCAGACAGAGAAAGACAAATACTATATGATCTCATTTATATGTGGAATCTAAAAAAGCAAGCAAACAAACAAATTCATAGAAGCAGAGAACAGATCACTGGTTGCCAGAGGCAAGGGGTGGGGGGGATGAGCAAAATGGGTGAAGGTGGTCAAAAGGTACTAACTTCCAGTCAGTCATAAGGTAAACAAGTTCTAGAGATGTAATGTATAGCATGGTGTAAGATGGCATAGGCTTGCAGGCCCCTTGCGAGCCAGGGTCATTCAAGGACTGCAGTGAGAGTTAGGAAAGCCAGGCAAACCTGAGCAAGGAGGAGAAAATGTTCTCTTCCCCTTATCTCATGTTGCAGGTTCTGAATGCCTGGATCTGCAAGAAGTGGCTCTTGCCTAGATTAGAGGCGTCCCTCCTTAGGACAAGAACATGCTGTCTCCAGAGGAAGGGTGGCTGAGAGAATTCTTTAATGTATCTTTCTTCAAGGATGTTAGTTTAATCCCATTATGTGTGAAAGTACATATTGTTATGCTTACCGGATTGCTGCAAGTATATAGCTATGTGGAAAATAAACGACAGCATGCAGTCGCAAGTGCTGCCTTTGCTCTGCATCCCCTGTGTCCCGGTGATTTCGCAGCCCTTACCCAGGGACCCCAACGCACTAGACGTTGACAATTGGCGCCCGAACAGGGACCCTGAAGGACGTTCAGGAAGGGTGAGTAACTTAAAATAACAGGGTTATGGGACAAGAAACTTCTACTCCTTATGTTCGAATGCTGAAGCATTGACTTGCTGTCTATGGCATTACTGTTGCTTCTACTGATATTGAGATGTGTTTGAAAGTAATTCGAGAATGGAATCCTTGGTTTCCAGACGAGGGTACTTTGGATATGGATAGCTGGCGGCGGGTTCGACATAATGTCGAAAAGGCGATGAGGCAAGGAGAGAAAATTCCCGTGCGATTTTGGTCCATCTGGTCAATTATATTTACAGTACTTAAGGCAATGGAGGATGACCGCACGGTTGGGAATTTTCATGAGGAGATGGCTCCTTCTATACAAGATCTTCCTCTTGATACAGATGAAAAAAGGGCGGTAGTAAGAGATACTTTTGAGCTTGCACCGTCTCAGGAACCGAGTGAGTGTGGCCACATTGAAACAAAACCAAAAGTAAAATCGGATTCCGGGACGGAGCACTTACAAAAGATTCTCCAGCGGGTTCTAGCTATAGCAGAGGGATCTAAGAAGCCCCCTAAAAAACCCTCCGCTCCACCTCTGCCACCCGCACCAGGTCTTTCTCTTAAGAATCCTTTCCTTTCTGCTGCCTTGGCTGAGCTTGATGCGCTAGAAGATAGCGATGATGAGAGCGAGGCTGGTAATTCTGTCTTTGCTTTTCCTGTTATTAGGCCTCCCCCGGTCCAGGGAGTAGCACAAGCGCCATATTATGAAGGTATCGGAATAGAGGATATCGGTCGCTTGAAAAAGGCAGTGTCTCTATATGGACCACAGTCACATTATGTGAAGGAGCTACTTAATGGATTAGCTCGACATTATAATAATTTCTCTCCTGAAGATTGGAGGGTCCTTTGTAGAGCCCTTCTGAAGGAGCCTGAGTATCTGCAATGGCAGATGTGGTTTTCTGAACTATGTATGGATTGGGCTCGCCAGAATGCATTAAGTCCTAACCCTCGTATACAGGTTATAAGTTATCAAATGTTGGCAGGGATAGGTCAATATTCTGATATTGCTACTCAGGTTAATACCCCTGAAGAAATTCATGAGCAATTGCGGGAGATAGGTTTAGAGGCTTGGGAACGTATTCGGCCAACAGGGGAGCACTATGGATCATGGACTAAAGTTATTCAAAAGACTAATGAGCCTTATGTTGAATTCTTATCACGATTAAAATTAACTTTAGAAAGAACTGTTATTGGAGAGGAAGCTAGACAACAATTGTTGAGGTTACTAGCATATGAGAATGCTAATGAGGATTGTAAGAGAGTTATATTACCTATTAAGGATACAGGAGACATTAACACTTTTATGAAGGCCTGTAAGGATGTAACATCAGAAAGTCGAAAGATGCAGCTATTTGCTGAAACTATGGCCACTACTTGGCATTCCTTGCAGTCCAAACAACTAGATAAGATGAAATGTTTTGGCTGCGGGCAACCAGGACATTTGAGAAAGAATTGTAAAGGGAAGAAACTTGATAAAGGGCGTGGGCCTGGAATTTGTCCACGATGTAAAAAGGGAAAGCATTGGGCTCGAGAATGTCGTGCTAAACTAAATACCAGTTTTGCAGAGAAGCACCAGGGAAACTCCATTTCGGGCCCTACCCCGGGGCCCAGGACAAACGAACAGGGGAAACCAACTATATTCTCCCTTAGCCCAGCCACCCAACACAGCGCCACAGTGGATATACCAGCCATAAAATCATTTACTTTAAAAGGAGGGGACAAACCGCAGAGAGTGCCCACTGGCATTTATGGACCTTTGCCAACTGGCACCTTTGCTTTATTAACTGGACGCTCAAGCCTGACATCAAAGGGAGTAACAGTTCATTTAGGCATAATTGATGCTGATTATATGGGAGAAATCCAAATTCTTATGTCTTCCCTAGTTGATATATCTTTTGAAGCAGGAGAACGCATTGCCCAATTATTGTTATTACCTTACCTTTCTGTCGGTCAGTCTACTGTTATTAGACATGGGGGATTCGGTAGTACAGACACAAAAAATGTTTTTTGGACTACACAGATAACTCATATGCAGCCCTTGATGAAAGTTAAATTGAATACTAAAGATATTACTGTTTTACTAGATACTGGATCAGACATCGCTATTATTAAGACTGCTGATTGGCCTGAGAAGCTCCCCTATACTATTGTGCCTTGTCACATAAAAGGAGTTGGCAATACTCCCGTTCACAGTATCGGCCTAGCTACTCAGTTCGTGACATTTACTTCCCAGGATGGTCAGATGGCTGTCCTAAAACCATATATTTTAGATGTTCCTTTAAATATTTTGGGCCGCGATGTCCTAGAGCAGTGGGGAGCTCATCTCGAATTCTAATTGTAGATGGAACCCATCAAAATTTTATGGAAATCTGAAGATCCTTTGTGGATTGAACAATGGCCATTAACCAAGGAAAAACTTACTGCTGCCCATCAATTGGTTCAAGAACAATTGCAAAAGCAACATATTGAGCATTCCACTTCCCCGTGGAATTCTCCAATTTTTGTTATAAAGAAGACCTCAGGTAAATGGCGTCTACTTACTGATCTACGTGGGGTTAACAACTCCATGTTCCCTATGGGGGCCCTTCAGCCTGGTATACCTTCGCCAGCTGTCTTACCAAAAGGTTGGCATACTGTAGTTATTGATCTGCAAGACTGTTTCTTCACTATCCCTGTGCATAAAGATGATAGAAAACGCTTTGCCTTTTCCCTTCCCCCTATAAATAGACAGGGACCTCATCAAAGGTTCCAATGGAAAGTTTTACCTCAAGGCATGATGAACTCTCCTACTATGTGCCAGCTTTATGTTGATGCTGCTTTGCGCCCTGTACGGCAAAGGTGGTCCCATGTATACATATCTCATTATATGGATGACATCCTGTTCGCTAGCCCTCATCAAAATGAATTGGATGAAATTTTAAAATTATTACCTGAGTACTTTGCTCCTTTTGGCTTAATAATTGCCCCAGAGAAAATTCAAAAAGGAGATATCATCAATTATCTGGGATATGTGATAGAAAGAAATACAATTAGGCCACAGAAGATGGCTATTCGTAGGGATAACTTGAGAACTTTAAATGATTTCCAAAAACTATTAGGGGATATTAATTGGTTGCGACCCTCTCTAGGTATCCCTACTTACCGATTGCATAACTTATTTGAAACCCTACAGGGAAACCCTGATATCAATAGCCCCAGACAACTTACTACTGAAGCCGAAATTGAACTACAGTTTGTAGAGGAAAAAATTAAATCTGCTTTCTTAACCCGAATTGATCCCTCCTTGCCTCTAAAATTGTATATTCTTCATACATGGCAATATCCCACGGCTATACTAGGTCAAAATGAGTTACCCATTGAATGGATCTATACTAAACATCATTTTTCAAAAAATATTACGCCCTATGGTATTCAAATAGCATATCTGATAGAACAAGCTCGAGACAGGGCTATAACCATAACTGGTTATGATATTATGGACATTATTATCCCCCTGTCCAAGGATCAATTTTCATTTTTGTTACGAAATATGGAAGAACTACAAATTGCTCTTGCAGGGTATGTTGGTCAAATTAATTATCATTTTCCCAAAGGAAAATTATGGGACTGTTTTCGCAAACAAGAGTTTGTTATTCAGGATATCATCAGTGATCAGCCCCTAATTGATGCACCCACGGTCTTTACCGATGGCTCCAAAACTAAAAGTGCTTACTGGACCCCTACTAAATATTGGGTTCAGTATACAGACTTTAATTCAGTCCAACAAAATGAATTGTTCGCCATTACTCAGGTGTTAAAGGATTTTCCCTCCGCTGTAAATATTATCGCTGATTCTGCTTACGCTGTAGGAGTCCTTAAAAATATATACACTGCTGTTGTACATTCACATAAGTCCAATTTACTTAACCTATTTTTACTTTTGCAAACTTTGCTTAGAAGCCGGAATGCTCGTATTTATGTGACTCATATTCGTTCCCATACTAATCTTCCTGGTTCATTGACACATAGTAATGCTCAAGTGGACGCTTTGGTGTCTTTTGTATCTGCGGAGGAAGAACATAATTTATTGCATACCAATGCCGGAAGGTTACATGTTCAATATAAAATTCCATACCGTCAAGCAAAATCTATCGTGAAGCAATGTCCAATCTGTAGACCTTTACATCTGCGCACTACAAAAGCTGGGGTAAACCCCCGAGGCACATATGCCAATGAACTTTGGCAAATGGATGTTACTCATGTGGCGCAGTTTGGCCGATTCTCTTATGTGCACGTAGTAATAGATACTTATTCTCATTTCATGTGGGCTACGGCACAAGTTGGTGAAACTGCACAACATGTCATCACCCATCTATTAGAAACTTTCGCTGTGATGGGCCTACCATCTATCATTAAGACAGACAATGGCCCTGCATATAGCAGCAAAAAATTTCAAGCCTTTTGTAAACAATATAGTATAATGCATAAAACAGGCATTGAGTACAACCCCCAAGGACAGGCTATTGTGGAACGTACGCATGGTACTTTAAAGTTACAAATTAAAAAAATTAAAAAGGAGGAAAAAGGATCATATATTATCATTTACTCAATCTAATGCGCGTTCTATTTTGATACAGGCACTATTTACACTCAATTTCTTGAATCTTCCGCAAGGAGATATTCTTTCCCGAGCAGAAAAGCATTTCATAGAGGGAGAGGCTGCTCCTCCTCCGTTAAATGAAAAAATATGGTTTAAACCGGCTGCAGATGCAGAATGGCAACCAGGGCTATTACTTTATAGAGGGAAGGGTTATGCTTATGTCTCCACAGAGGATGGACGGACCTGTTCCTGGCTCCCCGCGAGGTGGATCCAGCCAAGGACCAATTCGAACGGCACCGTATCCTGTCAGGCGACGAACAAGGAATCCAGACCACGATGAACTTCCAATACAGGCCATGGCACACCTAAATTTGGGGGGACGACATCGCCGTCGGCAAACATTTGCTACTGTTTTGCCTACCTGGGGACAAATTAAAAGGCTTGGTGGGGAAGGGCAAAAAATCTTGCAGCGGACAGGGAAGGCTTGCACACCCGAAAATTTGTTTTTGGCCATGTGCGCTTTACTTACTGTATCATCCTCCGCTGAAGCAACAGATGTAAGCTATTGGGCCTATATACCCAACCCACCTATGATGGAACCTGCACCCTGGGGAAGTGCGGATATTCCTATTTATACTTCCCCAGTGATACTTTCACCCCCTTGGAAAAATCTTACTTACCTTAATCAAGATGATGGCTCCCTATTTGATTTTCTACATAAAGGGGATGGTCCTTACATTTGTCTTGGCCCCTCTCCCTGTGCCGAAATGAACTGGCAAAACTGGATCCTACCCGGCGATATGTCTAATGGATCCCGAACTCATTTACAAAGATTTGAGGCATGGTCTCTTAACATGACATGGGGAAATGTTACATTTGATAAGTTCCCCTCATTTCCTGTCTGTCCTGACTTCACATACATAAGACTGGCCTATAAGCCGTTTGTATGGCAGGAATGTGTTGGAAAGTTTGCAAAATTTTACAAGAATTTGCTTATGTGGGGGCCATATGGTCAATTTCTTCGGAATTGCTCAGAATGGAATAAAACACATTGTGATTTATCTTTAACTTATAGGATACCACCGCAGAACAACTGGAGTGAGCCAATGGTAAATCATCAATTGATGGCCTGGGGAGATGGCGGCATTGCAGATCCTCGTGTAGCACATCAGAAATTTCCTGATCATATTCAAACACACTTATGGAAAATTGCAGCCACGCTTAAGACTGTTAGAATTTACAATGGAACTTTTTCTGGCACAGCGAACTCTGCGTCAACTTATAACTTCACTATTTTTAAAGAAATGAATGTAACTGCTTGTGTACCTCTGCCATATCTATTTCTGGTTGGGAACTTTAGTTTCTATAATGGAATTAACTGTACCAGATGTCGACTGTACTCTTGTATTAATAATTCTATAGAATTTGAACCGGGATATTCTCTTATGATTTTGCAACAACGTTCTCACATTTGGCTTCCGGTGAATCTAGAACGGCTGTGGGCCCAAAATCCCGTGGACGCCTTAGTTTTGGAGTTTTTCAAAAAGATGCTGAAACGTACAAAACGTTTTGTCGGCATTATTGTGGCAGTTATTTTAAGCTTAATCACAGTTACCACGCTGGCCGCAGTATCAGGTATAGCATTACATACCTCTCTGCAAACCAAACATTTTGTGGAAAATTGGCACCGTGACTCTCGGGATCTTTGGCTTTCACAAACTATGATTGATACTCGCTTGCAACACAAATAGATGTCCTTAGGCAGACAGTGGGCTGGTTAGAGAAGAAGGTATTGACACTAGAGAGGCAAATTTGGCTTCGTTGCGATTGGAATTCTACGACTTTTTATGTTACCAATTTAAAATATAATAAGTCACAGCATGATTGGAGCGTTATCCAAAGATACTTAGAAGGTAATTCATCGGCGGTTGACATGATCAATAATCTGCACACAAATATTCAGAAGATCTTTGGTAGACCATTTGAGACCGAAGATGCTGCCACTTTGGCAGACTTGTTCCTTAAACAACTTGAGGGATTAGACCCAAAAGGTATCATTCAGAGTTTAGGGCATACTGCTGGAGGAATGGGCATTGTGTTGCTAGTTGTTATCTTATGCTTTACGCTGCTACATTTCTGCTATATAAAACCGTCCCAGAATTCTATGGCCACCCTCTGGAAGGCAATTTTTTTAAAACAAAAGAAAAAAGGGGGAAATAAGATGGCATAGGCTTGCAGGCCCCTTGCGAGCCAGGGTCATTCAAGGACTGCAGTGAGAGTTAGGAAAGCCAGGCAAACCTGAGCAAGGAGGAGAAAATGTTCTCTTCCCCTTATCTCATGTTGCAGGTTCTGAATGCCTGGATCTGCAAGAAGTGGCTCTTGCCTAGATTAGAGGCGTCCCTCCTTAGGACAAGAACATGCTGTCTCCAGAGGAAGGGTGGCTGAGAGAATTCTTTAATGTATCTTTCTTCAAGGATGTTAGTTTAATCCCATTATGTGTGAAAGTACATATTGTTATGCTTACCTGATTGCTACAAGTATATAGCTATGTGGAAAATAAACGACAGCATGCAGTCGCAAGTGCTGCCTTTGCTCTGCATCCCCTGTGTCCCGGTGATTTCGCAGCCCTTACCCAGGGACCCCAACGCACTAGACGTTGACAATGGTGACTATAGTTAACAATACTATATTATATATTTGAAAGTTGCTAAGATCTTACAAGATCTTAAAAGTTCCCATCGCAAGAAAAAAATTGTAACTATATGAGGTGATGGATGTTAACTAAACCTGTTGTGGTGATTATTTGCAATATATACATTTATCAAAGTATTATGTTGTACATCTTAAACAAATACATTGTTACGTGTCAATTATATCTCAATAAAACTGAGGGGTAAAATGCAACTTGGAGATTCTTCCAAACTCAACTTGGAGAATGATTTCAATTTTTTTACAGTTCCAGTCCATTCCGCTGTATGAATGTGCCACAATTTATTAAACCAGCCCATGTGGATGGGCATTTGTGTTGTTTCCAATCTTTTGCTATTAAAAAACAAAAACACTCTATAGTATATGATAGGATAAATTCCCAGAGACAGGACTGATAAGTCAAATAGTCTATGTATTAGTAATTATATATATATATTGCCAAATTGCCTTCCAGTTATACCAATTTTATCCTCATCAGCAATGTAAAAGAATGCCTGTTTCCCCACAGCCTTTCCAAAAGAGTTTTATTAAACTTGGATTTTTGCTACTTTAATAGGTAAAAAATAATATCTCAGTATGGTTTTGATTTGCATTTCTCTTCGGACACAGAGCACCTCTTTATTTCTATGAATGGACACTTCATACCTTTCTTATGTTTCTATTAGGGGAATAGTTTTTTATACTTGGCTTACAGGAGCACATTATATAGGGAGATTAGCCCTTTCTCTGTAATATAAATTGCAAAAAGTTTTTTCCAGTGGTGTGTTGGTTAATTTCGAACAATGGTCTCTGGGGAAAATAAACCCTGGTTTATAGCATTTGCCAACTTCCATGATGTAAATGTTCCCACCACAGACAGTCTCAAGCTACCAACATGACATCTCTAAATGTGGAGTTGGAAAGAGATGTGCAGTAGCAGACCATTATATAATATCTCCACGGTAGAGATATAATAAACATAAATAACCCCTAGATCATGGATTACAGTAAAATGTAGTTAAACAATTAGAAAGTGATGAGTTTGGAGTATTTCTTACCTTTGTAACGTTCTGCGTTTAATTATAAGCTTGTCTGACTTAATTTTAAATAATGGCTGTGTTTGATAATCAGCTTTCAAAATTCCTGAAAATTTAATAATCAGCCCCTGGGAGCCAGTGCAGGCCATCTCCAATGCACTGCTGCTATTTATCACATTTGGTTTTTGCCTTTTGACTTCTTCTCAAATGATGTTTTTCACCATACAAATGTTTGATTTTGATGTAGTTTGATTTATCAGTCATATTCTTTGGGTTCAGAATTTTGAATGACTGGAAGACCGTCCCCATTCCAAGATTATAAAAGAGTTTTCTCATGTTTTCTTCTAATACTTTTATGGCTTCATTTTTACATTTAAAGCTTTAATCCATTTGTTATAGTTGGGAGGTATGGCTTCTACTTTCATTTTTTCCAGAGGCCTACCCAGTTATCTTGCACCAGGTATTGAATGGCTCATCTTTTCCCATCTTTAATAATAATGAATAATAATAAAGCCATCTTATACAATGCAGCTTTCTTGATTTTGATGATCATGGTATTTAATCATCATTTGAATTAAAAGTTTTAATTATGATTGTATTTTATAAACACTTTCCCTGTGTCTGCTCATTTGATTCTATAGTGGTAGGTTTGATAAATTATAATAGCTATAATATTTTTATGCCCAGCATACTTTCCCATCCTCTGCCTTCTGAATCCTTTAGGAAATTCTCCCTCCATGCAATGTGATCCTGAAAAGGCAGTCATCTATGGTATACTGGCCAAATCACTGGTTACACATTTGACTTAGGCTGGCCAATCAAAAAATCCCACCACATAGCAATTGGCTAGGGTTTAGACATCTGACCTGAGCAAGGCAATATAATCTTCCTGGGACTGATATCTGAATGAGATTTTCTGTTAGAATTGTTAAGCTGGGATATACATTTTTTAGATCTTCTTAGCTAACACATAAATTAAAACTGTGTGAGGATAAATCCAAACAAAACCAAGCAGAACTAAGAAATAGAGAGTCAGAAAATTCTGAAGGTATTCTTTAGGTCTCTGGATCCAACCTTACCCAAAAGCCAATGCCCCTTGGACATCCAGAATGAAGCCTATAAATTCCCTTTTTCCCCCCATTTAACCTAGTTCAATATGGCTTTGAAATCGAAAGAGTTCTAACTCTCTTCAAAAGCTATTATTGTTCCCACATTACAGAGGAAGAAACAGAAGCTAAGAGAGGTTAAATGCAATCATGATAATAATGTGTTTCCCACTCTTAGCTCTTACTTCCTGGTACCCATTTTGCTAGCACTGGCAGCTCCCCACTTTATGTACTGTATCCCAATGAAGATTCTCTGATGATGACTAGGAAGAAAGGCCGTATAAAGGTATGAAGGCTGCTTATTATCCTCTAAAATATTCCAGATTCTAAATTAGATCTGTTCGATTACTTCTTAACAGCTTTTCCTGTATCAAGGTGAAAATCTCCTTGACTTGACTTGACTTCTCAATATCATCAAGGCCTTGGCTTTATCCCTGGTGTCTCTCCCTGAAAAAATGTAAAAGGTCATTATCCAATGACATTATACTCAAATCAGCCCCAGAGCTTCATTTCACATTGGGAGGACAAATTTGGTTTT